CCCCCGGGCTGTTGTTTTCTGTGGTTTGAGTGTTCCTTGCTCCACATTTCAAGGTCCCTCTGTGTGTCCCTCCAAGTCTGTCTCTGTGGCTCCCTCCCCTCAGTGTGAGTGTCCCATCGCTGGGCTTGCTCTGTGTCTCCTCCTTCTTTCTCTCTGTCCTCTTGGTGTGTGTCCCTCTGTCTCGGTACCCTGCACTCCCTCTCCTATTTGCCTCTCCTCCCTGTCCCATCTCCTGGCCTTCTCTCCCCTACTGCATCTCCCTTCTTGGTGCTGGCATTGTCCTCCCAGTTGGCCCTGATCTGGTCTGTCTGGTGGTCTCCCTGCCTCGCTCCTGGTGACTTCTGTTGTTTTTCTCTTGCAGCCTGCTCAACTTAGACTCTGTTGTGTGTCTCTTTGCCCTTCCAGTCTTAGACTGTCTGTGGTGGTGCAGACACAGAGGCAGGGGAGAGGAGAAGCCTTTATTCAAAGAGAAGCAAGCAGCTTGTCAGCATTTGGGCAGCAGGAGGTTGCCCTTGGGGGTGGTTTGCCCAGGTGTCAGGGGCCAAGCCACAGTAGGAGAGAGGCTTGTTAGCTACAAGCCAGGTCATGGATGTGCACCAAACAGCCTCCCCCAGTGTAGGTCAATCCCTGGATGTTGACATGCTACCGTTTTATCCCCAAAGTTAATAAAGTTTTTTTCTTGATATAAGTTCTGTTCCTCCAGCAATGCCACCCTTCCAGTTCACCAGCAACACCCCATTGCCAACACAGGGCTGTTCTCTCTGTCCCACTGCCAGGCAATGCAAGGAAGGGGAAGTGATCAGGCTTTAGATTCAAGCCCCCAGCCATGAGGCATGCACTGGATCAGGACAAAAGATAACCCACACCAGACCACAATAGACCAGCCTGTATCAGCTTTCACCTGATCAATTATTAGAACACAAGACAACAGACCAGAGTAGAGGGGAACAGAACGTGACCGCTTCTTAAACCCAAACACAACCATACAGAACAGACCAGGGTGAAAAAAACAGACCCAAGCAGGACCAACTTGACCACCCTGGAATGGAGCAGGGTAGGGCAGAATAGCATTGACCAGGACACGACAAAGGAGAATACACCACCATAGACCATCCCAGAATAGACCGGAACGAACCAGAGAGGAAGGGAGTAGAAGACAGAGGCATGGTAGAACGCAACAGATTAAGCAGAAGGAGAACAGACCAGAGTTGAACAACCTAAATCCAAGGACGAGAGCACAACAGTACACGCGAGGTTGGCACCAACTAGAACGAACTCTGGCTGAGGAGCCCAGAGAGCTGAGTGGAATGCTCGGCTATTTAGAACAGACCAAATTACACTGGAACAGGATTCAACCCCGACAGAACAGGACTACCCAGGGACTGCACCAGAGCAAAGCTCAACAGACCAAAATAGAACAGACCACACCAGACCAGAACTGACCACTACAAAATAGAGAGAATGCAGAACCAAACACGTGAGAACAGAAAAGAGCACCTTAGTGTAGAACACATGAGAGCAGAAAGAACAAACTGGGGGGGAAACGTGGGGATGGGACACCAGGATGGGGGCACACCACAGTACATTAGTTTGTTTGGAAGGGACCTACGCCAACCATCCCATCCAACTGCCTGAGCCTTTCAGGCCTGACCAAAACATGAAAGTGTGTCAGTAAGGACATGCCAACGCCTGGGAAAACCCAGGAGCACCCTCTCAGGAAGGGCACAGTTCCTACCATCTCCCTGCAACCTCCCCTGGCAGGGCACAGCACAGCCCCACTCCCGTTGCTTCCCAGCGCGCAGGGATGAGGAGAGGTCAGCACCTCCCGCTCCATTTCTGCACCTTGGGAAGCCAGGCAGAGCCACGACAACAGCCCTGTGCCCTCCACGGCTCCTCAGGATGCTCTCAAGCAACCGAACATCCTTCTGTGAGGGCAGGGCCTAACAGAGCACACAATACATGAGGTGAAGCCACACCAACACTACTGACAGAGAGGTAATCGCCTCTCAGCCAGCCAACGTTCACCCACCACTGACCAGAACCCTTTCCATGTGGCTGCTCTCCAGCCCCTCCACTCCATCCCAGGTGTGGACTGCAGCATCGGGCTGCCTGTTCTGTTTTACCCTTCTCCCAACTCTCTAAATTCCTGTTTGAGGGTTCCCGTCCCTCAAGCTGGGTGATGGCACCATCCAGTGCGGTATCAAGTGTTCAGGCCTCTTGCCCTGTCATACCACCAGCCCCTTGACCCCTCACATCGCCTCAGGATGATGCCTCCACCTCCCGCCACAACTTTTGCACTGCTCCACCCCACGCAAGTGACCCTGTGGCCCCCCCCTTCCCCAAAACATACATGCATCCCCTCCTCCTCCTCCCTAAGGAACAACACTGGGCACCCCCTGGCACTGCCCCCCACCGGGATGAGCCCCTTGCCAAGTGACAGTCCATCCCCCCTACTGCTGCACACCCCATTGACACCTATCAAGCATATCCCCCCCACCCCAACAGCAACAATGACCCAGAATCTCTAGAAGCCACTTGCCCAGCTCCTACAACACACCTGCACCAAAGCAAGGCGCCCCGAGTCCCAGGCTCACCGATGCCCCACAAGTAAAACCAAAGACGTGCACCTCGCGCCACCCCAAATCACCAAGCCTCTCCAGGGCATGACACAGCCCCCCAAGATGGTACCTCCGGGAATGCTGAAGGGGACGTCTCGGTGCCACAGCACCCACTGCTTCCCCATTGCTGCCACGGTCCCAGTCAGATGGATTATAGGGGTACCCATCACCGAGACATGGGTCCCCACCACAACATTGTGCCCCCACTCTCTGCCCTGATGCTGCCAAAGTCCATGCCAACAGGGACACTCTGCTGGCTCCCCACAGCTCCTCCAGCCTGCCACCCAACTCCATCCTCTCCCTCGCAACGAAGCCCAAGCCCGGCTTGCCAGAAGGCCACTGGGACACTCACATGGGCATATGCCACAACTACATGTCACCTTTCTCAGTGACAGCCGTCCAAGCCACCATTCCTCAACCACCTTCCTGCCCAGGTACCTGACACAAACCGCCCTGCCACGGCTCTCAATGCCTAAGCCACTGGGCCTGATGCTGCCAGTGCAACACAACTGCTGGTAGTCCTGCCTGTACAACACCCAGGAAACCCCCACCACCACGCACCCAAAGCATGAGCTCACCCAGCCCAGGCCACCTCCTCGGCCCTGTGCTCCAGCAAAGTCACAGCTCAGCCAGGAGCCTCTTCTCCACCCACAGCCCCGGCTCCACAAACAGCCACCCGCTAGCCAAGCCTGCTGTGCGCCCCTGAACACCCCATGCGTGCCTTGGGTCGCTCTGGATCTCATCAGCTGTTGCATGCTCCCTCTGCAGGACCTTGCCACTCACATCTCATGCCATTCAGCGCCTTGAGGGGCCACCAACATTAAATACAGCCAGTTCTGCTTCGTTGCTGGCCTCCTCCTTCTCTTTTTCTTCTTCCTCCTCCTCACTGGACCTTGCTGCAAATAAGCAGGGCACCTACCGTACAGGATGATGCTGGCGTTGGTGTTGCCCAGCTTGTTCGTAGCCACACACGTGTAGTTGCCATAGTCCTTCTCCGAGACATTGAAGAAGGTCAGTGTCGACAGGCGGCCTTTGCTCTCGATCCGCACACCCTCCAGTCCGTTCGCTAACCTGTGGGGAAACGCGGATGTCAACTCTCGGAGAGCCTCATCATACCCCCCTGCCCGGGACCCCCCTCCCTTCCCACCAACCAATTCCCCCACTGGACTCCACACATCCCGCCAAGACCCTTGGCCCCACCACACTGCCCAAAAGCACACTGCACTCTCCATCCCATAACCCAGCTCCCTGCCAGACCCACAGAGCCCACATTAATCCTCGCAAGCTACAGCCACCATCCCCAGGAGAAAAACTACCCTGGGGCCTCCTCGGCTATTATGTGAGTGCTTAGACCCACCAGAACTAGTTGATCTCAGCTTTTCATTGCACAAGGCCCTCGGCCACCACCTCACTGCCCTCCAGCCATGAGGCTGGTGTGGTTGTCCCCCACCCCGCTGTGCCCCAGTCTCACCCACCTCCGTGGCCCCTCACCTGGTGTCCTCCTTGAACCACTGGAACTCTGCCACGGGGACAGCCGAGGCCTCACACTGCAGGATGCCCTTCTGGCCCACCGAGGCGCCCGTGTTCTTGGCGTTCGAGATGTAGGGTGGGTCTGCGGAGATGCCAGGCTGCGTCACACCAGCCTCCACACACACACCCACCCTGCCACGATTCCCCCATCCCTTGCACTCACAGTTGACAGTGACTTTGACTTTCCTCACGTCTGGGACAGCCACATCATTGACGGCGCTGCACTCATACTCCCCGGACTGCTCCCGCGTGATGCCCGTGATCTCCAGGTACTCGTCCTCGCTCACAAAGCCCTGCCCTGGGAGATGTCCCAAACGCGTGGCACCATCACCCTTCACCCAGAAAACTTAGAACATCACTTAACGAGCATCCTCACCCTCATTCCAGGACACACCAAAAGGGCCAGTGCCTCCAGAAAAGCTGCCAGCAAACCATGAGCTACCTTCATGTCCCCCCAGCTACCTCCACGGGGACACCCATCCCTCTCGCACCGGGCAAGATCCCTCCTCAGAGCCCTGAGCGTGGTCTCACCTTTCCCGGAGAGGTGCCGCCACGTGACGGTGGGCTCCGGTCTCCCGAAGGCCAGGCACATGAGGGTCACGCTGCTGCCCTCGTTCACGGTGATGTCCGACGAGATGTTGACGATCTGAGGGGGGACTGCAAGACACCAAGAAAAGCACAACCACCATCAACACACAACCCCTGGCTGCGGGACCCAAAGAATCATCTCAGCTGGAAAAGACCTTGAAGCTCCTCCGGTCCAACCATTAACCTCACACTGACCATTATCAACTCCACCAGATCCCTCAACGCTATGACCCGCTGCCATCCGCACCGTCACCAACCCTGTGTCACCAAACCAACACCTCGGACCAGGGCTGAGCACAGTCCCGGGCATAAAGTGCTCTGCTCACCAGTCCCCTGCACCAGGCAGGGGCCAGAAACATCGGCCCTCCCCACCCTGCTGCAGCTGAGACCCCAATAACAGGCTCTTGTTACGGCCTGCAACAAGACTCATATTTGAGCATATTTATTAAAGCTGTTTAAATTACTGAGCGTCCGCTCCATTCAATACCAGCCACAGTGATTTATATTACTCTATCCCCAGATACTCCACCTAATAAATAACTTGGCAATCTCTGCACCCATAAATATCCCCAGCCCCAGCAAAAAGCAATTAAAGCCCGCTTGCCAACTCCACTTCCCGGTGCTCCGGGCTGGCAGACGCAGCCCCTGAAGTGGCCTGTGCCCTGGGGAGCAAACAAAGTGATAGAAAACGACCCGCCCAAAACTAAATATTACTCCTGTAGCATCAGAAAAGATGCCCCGTGCCCCATCCCCAAGCTAAAAAGATTTCAAGAGCCCCAGCTCATGTGGCATCACGTGGCCAACCCTTGTGCCAAGGGCTCTCCCTCGGCATTGGGATGCCGGGATGATCACCTGAAAACTGCTGTGGCTGACACAGACACAGCCTGGAAGGGGATGTGAGGGCTCCCCGGCTCTCCTGTCACCCCCAGGGACTGTCCCTGCCCTGCTCAGGCTGCTGCATCATTGTCCAAACTGAGCAGACTGGGTAAGGACAGGGGGATGCCTAGTGGGGGACCAGGAGAGCTGCAGCTACCACCCATGAGGTGCTCAAGCCTCATGGGGATTATTAAAAAAAAAAAAAAATCACCCCAAAAGAGCTTTTCACTCCCCGGCAGCCTCCTGGGTGCAGGCAGGGGATGGGTTTTCCTCTGCCTGCTCTCCCAAGCAGCGCGGGAGAGGCGGCGCGCAGGGACATGCCGTGTCTTCGCTGTGGTGCGGTCTCCGTGGCCCAGTGGGCCCTGCAAGGCAGTAAATTTCCTAGCAACTTGACACATTAATATAGAAGTACAGTCTGTAACAGCAGAGGGAGATTGTCTGAGTCCTTCAGGGGAAAGCGGCAATCCGAAAATGAAAAGTGTGCGCTGGCGACCACTGGAAAATGTAGTTAACGCTCGGAGCGGAGCCGGTTGGCTCTGACGGTGCAGCCCTGACAAGCTCCGCCACGGGAAGGCTGCCAGCGGCACTTCCTCAATCCTAGAGATGATCTTATCCCCTATTATCAGCATCTTTGCACCCCTCCCCTCCACTAACAGCACCTCCAACAGCTACGAGGAACATCTGAAAACAACAACAGCGTCCAAGACAAGTTGCCACCCGCTCACAAGCCTGCAAGCCATCCCTCCCTGCCAGCAGTTTTGGTCTGAGATGGCAGTAGCACAGTTAGCGGATGCTGAGACCTAAGGACCCCTGCTCCAGACAGCAGCCAGCCTCTCCCTCGATTGCTCTTACCTACAAAAGCCGTGGAGCCAGAGAGTGGCAGCGCACGACACAGGGTGCTGGCAAAATCATGGCCATGCGCAAGGGCTGCTCTCCCTTCCCACCCGCACCCCTCCCAGCACTTCTCTGGAATGAGCCCCTGCTCTTTGCTTCATGCTACCTGAAGGGCTATACAGGCCAGGGATTGGGGGGGTGTGTGGGTGGGGGTGTGTGAAACCCAAACACCAAACACTGTGCTGACTTTATCTGCTTCTTACAGCCGTACTACATGCTCTCGGTACAGGCTAATGCTTGCAGGCGAGTGTGCTGCCAGAGGAAGGCAGCCACCTCCACAGCCAACTCCAAATAGTCAGGGGCCGATTCCCGGGGACCTGCCATGGACAGACACAGCCCTCATCCCTTCCAGAAGTCCTCCCCAGACCCAAGACTGAATCACAGAATCATTCAGGTGGGAAAAGCCCCTCGGGATCATCGAGTCCAACCCTCAACCCCACTCTACAAATTTCTCCCCTACCCCACATCCCCCCACAGCTCATCCCAACAGCCCTTAAACCCCCCCAGGGATGGGGACTCCCCCCTCCATGGGCAGCCTGTTCCACTCTCTGACCACTCTGTCTGGGAAACATTTTCTCCTCCTGCCCAGCCTGACCCTCCCCTGGGGCAGTTTCCAGCCGTTCCCTCTTGTCCTGTCCCTGATCCCCTGGGAGCAGAGCCCAGCCCCAGCCTCTCTGCAATGTCCTGTCAGGAGCTGCAGAGAGGGATGAGGGCTCCCCTCAGCCTCCTCCTCCTCACACTCAACACTCCCAGCTCCTTCCCTGGCTCCTCACAGGATTTACTCTCCAGCCCCTCACCAGCCTCGTTGCCCTCCTCTGCCCTCGCTCCAGCCCCTCCAGATCTCTCTCGGATTGAGGTGCCCAAACCTGGACACAACCCTCCAGGTGTGGCCTCACCAGTGCAGAGCACAGGGGGACTGTCACCTCCCTATTCCTGCTGCTCAGACCAGTGCTGACACAAGCCAGGGTGCCGTTGGCTTTCTTGGCCACCCGGGCACACTGCTGGCTCCTGTTCAGCTGCTTGTCAGTGAGAACCCCCAGACCCTTCTCCTCCAGACAGCTCCAGCCACCCCTCCCGAAGCCCATAGCCATGCAGGGGGTGGTTGTGGCCCAAGCGCAGGACCTGGCACTTGGCCCTGTTGAAGCTCATCCCATTAACGTTGGCCTATGACTGTTCTCAGGATGGGGCCTTCTGGAGGTGCAGGGGGAAAAGTGATATGGCAGCACATGGTCCCTTTTCCCCCCTTATTCATAGTCCTGACTTCCTTTTAAAACACTTCAACGACAAGCAAATTAAATACAGAATACATCCAGAGGAAGCAAGGAGCAGCGCAGTCTCACCAGAGCAGCTTGCAGAGGATTTTCATCAACCCTGCGTAATATTAATCACGGGTAAGTTAATACATGTTTGGTAGGCCCAAAAATACATTTGCGCTGTTATTTCTTGTTTGTTCAGAAAGTCAGTGAGAGAAATCGAATGTGAAAGCGATGCCACTAAATTCAATAACAGTAAGCCCATGATTTATCTCCTTCCTTTACTGCTCGAGACCCAAACCGCCCGACATGCTGATTCATGCTCTCCATCGGGCCCAGGCAGGTGTAGTTTCTGCTGCCACTCGTGGAGACCGTGAAACGCTGTCCCTCCCCTCACCTCCCAGTCTGGGTGCTGGCTCTGGCATCGTGCCTCAGTGACGCTGCCGTTATCCCACGATGCTCTGTGCCGCACTCGGGATATCTCTCCCAAGCACAGCCAAGAAATCCCTGGGACTCTCCCAAACACCACCTGGGGTGCTCATGGGGCCTCTTTCGGTTGCCAGCTTTGCCCCTGCTGCTGTTCCGTGGCTGGCCCAACTGGGGATGAAAGCAGCTAGAGATGCTACGAGCTGCTATCAGACACCCAAACGGGAGGAGGGATGGCCGCTGCCTCGCCGGGGCAGGCGTGGGTCCGGCCCACACCAGCAGGGACGCCTCCTCCCTGCTAAACTGTGCAGGAAGAAACAGCACGTCAGCACTCGCTACACGACCAACATGTGATGCTGATGTGCACGACTGCGTGCAGACCGACTCATCTCCCACCTGGTCCTTAGCGCCGATCCCTACTGAAGGCGCTCACCGCCGTGGCCCCGGACTATTTTTAGCTGCCAGATTGTTACTGCTGCACGACTTGGAGCGGAGAGCCTGCGTGAGCGCCATGGCTGATGCACGACTGATGTCCCTCCTCCACATCATTAGCTCCTAATCCATTAAAAGAGAACTCTTCCTAAACCTTTGATAAGGCGAGGTGATAGATAGATACCTATAGGCTCTTCAAACCACCAGACAACAGCCAATTGCTCGCCTCAACATGCATGACGGGTCCCCGGAGGGACGGACAAGGAAACGCAGCATAACCCTGTGCCAACGCGCCTCAACTTCCCGTCTGGTCTGAGGAGGAAGCGATGGGAGACGAGGAGGCGACGTCAGGAGTTTTAACAAAGCGTTGCTTCTCAGCAGCAAAAATTACCACCTTTGATCGAACACATTCTGACTAGAGCCCAATCTGAGAGGCTCGTCACAGTTGATTTTATTGAGATAATGCATTAAGCACAACCGACAGCTACAGTTTGGTCAACAGAATGATTTTGGTCAATTTTCCCAGCCAAGGCGTGCTGCGCCGTCGCCTCGTACTCTCTCCAGACACTTTGTTTCGGGGAAGATCTTCCCTTTCACTTCTCTGTGTCCCTTTTCACAGCCTTCCCCCCCGCAAACCATACTTTGTGTGATCCTTTTATGGAAAAGGATCATAACACACCTGTTTCAAATGCATTCTCTCTGCTGTGGAGGTGAGATTTTCTGGCCTGGCTGATATTCCCCCAGTGACCACATCTCTCCCCCTGCCTGTCTGTCTTTCTGCACGCCATCTGAGTACAGCTGAAAAGGAAAGAAATAAAAGAACCCCACCCAAAGCAACCTCCCTACAGATGTCTTCAGAGCCCAGGACTGCTGCATAGGACACAGAATATGTTCCCCTCCCATGAAACCAGACCGCAAAGCCATGAGACCCATTGGAGTTAAGCACAAAGGGATCAACAAGCCGGCACAGACCCCTCTATCCAAGAAAAGGCAAAATCCAGCCATGCCAGGGACCAACAGCTCACGAGACACTGAACAAATAAAACAGGGGCACTGAGGGCCCCGTGCTAGGTGGCATCTCCCTATCACTTGTCACGCACCCTTTTTCTCCAGGTTTTCGCCTTGAGATGGGGAAAGCAATAAAACCAAAACTCAGAGTGTTATACCTACCGTGTAACCACCTGTCAG